AGTATTGTGAATATTTAATCATAATATTAATAAAAACATATATCATTTGTGTTTTTTACCCACTCATTCGCAAGAGTAATTATTTTTTAAAGGTATTTTCTCAGTAACCTACAAAATGAAGAAATATATATTTATAAATCTTATTTGTAGTTTTTTTATTTTATTAACCTTCAAAGTGAAATAAAACGTGATGTTACTCTCAAAAATTATTTTGATCATTTCTTATTAAATAAAATATATGATCGATCACTCCACCTTTAAACCTTAAAAGGTCTTCTTTGAAGATCATTCTTTAATTAGCAACAATGACACGGTTACCGATTCCTTCCAAACATTATCGCAATCTTTTTATTATTGTTTTTCCCACGAGCCCATTGGAAAAAATTGCCGTTCTATTTTTTTTTTTTTTTTTTTTTTTTGATAATATATATATTATTCAAAATATTTTCTCTTTTATATATTACTCTACAAAAAATTCTTTATCGTTTTTTTCAGCAATTCCTAATTAAAAGTAATTTCAAAGAATAATCAAAAGCGGGACACTAGTTTTACTTGTAAATTTTATTTCATTTCATTTTATTTTCTTATTAAAAGTGTATAAAAAGAACAACAATAATCATAAATCCTCTAAAAAAATATATTTATACATAATATATATTTATAAGATTAACAACAAAAAAGAAAAAAATTGAAATAATGAATGAAAGACTTTTTCGCTTACCATTTGAATCAAACGATGATGAGATTGGCCCGTGGGATGTTTTGCTCAGTAGTGATGCAATTGCAGATATGAAAAAATTAGAGCCCCTTGCAATCAAAGCAGTCATGGAGAAACTCATGCAAATATCAAGCGGCAAATGGAATAAGTATGGATTGCAACATACTGTACAATCTTGCATTGTACCTGTTTATGAGGTGGAACTTCCAGATTATGGTGGCTTGAAGATTCTCTGGCAAGTTGATTATGGATTTTCTATTCGTAGAAATTCACTCATGCAACATGTGGCGATTTGGACAGTCACTGTAAACCAAGAGCAAATCAACGAAATATTAGAAAATGTTTCATTACTTCATCAAGTCTACACTCCTGAGCATAAATGCTGGTGCACATTGCAACAACAGATTGGCAAAGGTAATATCATTTTACCAAAATCATCTTTTGGAGATGAAGAAACAACAAAATCTACCCAGAGCAGATTGATGAAGAACCAAACAGATAATGAAAATTTGTTGAAGGTCCATGAAATGCTTATCACAAATAAATTTGTTCCATTATCAAAGGTTGGACAATTAAAGATTTAAACAGAACGCATTTTAACTGGAGTTACATATTAATATATAACTTTTGCTTCCAGAATTTATTTAGGTCACTTGTCAGGGGTGGTACTAAATTTACTTTTCAGGTATCTAAGCTTGAGTATGAAATTATTAACCATCCTTCATCAGCAATTGTCATTGGTCGTTCTGGTTAGTGTTGTTGGTATAGGTTTCCCTTATAATTGGGAAAAGATTAACATTGTTTGTTCTATTTGATGATATCCAGGAACTGGAAAAACCACATGCATTGAGTTTAGACTTCTTGGTTCATATTGGGCAAGTCAACTCAATCAGATGTCATCTTCAAATGACAATAATTCTAATTCTCACAAAAGGCAAATATTCATTACATTGAGTAAACGCCTATGCTGTAAAGTAAAAGAAGATTTCAATGAACGGTTAGAAGCAGCAGAATCTGGTAATGAAAAGATGACTGAGGCTCAATTTAATGAGTATGCAAAAAGAAAAGTTTGTAGCAATATTGATATGAAAAATGTGACAAAACAGGGAAAGGGAAATATTGTGGATTATACTCCAAACTCATTCAGTGAGCTTGAAGATGGCCATTTTCCATTGATAATTACATATGAAACATTCATTAAAATGCTTCTGAGAACTTATGGCATTAATCTATTGAATCCAACCAAAAAACCAAATTTTGATACAGATGACTATGTCTCAGATGCATCATGGAAGCATTTTGTAGACTACAGACTCTTTGCAAAAAAATATTGGCGTCATTTCAATGATTATTATAGAAAGCACTTTGATTGTGGGCTGGTTTTCTCTGAATTTTCTATCATTAAGGTATATAATGATATGTAAAATTCCCACATCTCATCATTTTTATTTTGTTGGTTCAAATTTATTGTTATAATTTAATTAACTGTTAGTTATGACAATGCTCTATTTAAATGATTTTTTCAAAATTTCCTAAGGGCTTTAATCCAGAGGGTGAATACCTATCAAGAGAAGATTATCAAGTCATTAGCACTAAAAAATTTTCTACATTTCGCCATTATCGTGATGAAATTTATGATTTATTTCTAGAATATGAAAAGAAGAAAGCCCGGAATTTTGACTATGACTCAATAGATCAGTAAATATCAATCAGATAATATATAATCTTCCATTTTTTGATTTGACAAGTTATCAACCTTTTTTTAGGACAATTGCTATCTTAAATCATGCCAGGAAGGAACCACTTGATTGTTTGCAAATTCATGAAGTATATATTGATGAGTGTCAGGACAACACCATTGTGGATTTAGCACTTATTTTAAAGCTCTTTGAACATGCTGACAACATTTTTTTTGCTGGAGATATAGCACAATGTATTTCAAAGGGATCATCTTTCCGATTTCAAGGTATGAATGCAAGGAAGAAGCTAAGGATAATTATAAAAATTTACTCCTATAATAGTCATTTATAATAACAATGGTTTAACCTTAATATAGATCTGAAGGCTTTGATATATAAATGGGAACTTGATCGATCCAATCGACCTAGTGTCATAATGCCAAAGCAGTTTGAAATGAATATTAATTATCGTTCACACAATGGGATCCTTAGACTTGCTTCATCAGTAATTGATCTCATCACTCACTTTTTTCCAGAGTCCATCGACAAGCTGCCACGTGAGTATGGTGAAGTTGGTGGTCCTCGACCAATTGTTTTTGAAGGATTTGAGGATGGGAATGAGTCAAGTAATAATGGATTTGGTGCTAGGCAGATCATTATTGTACGTGATGAAGAAGCTAAAGAGCATTTGAAGAAAAAAATTGGCGAAGAATTTGGATTGATATTGACTGTGCTTGAGTCCAAAGGCATGGAGTTTGATGATGTATTGTTGTATAATTTCTTTGCTGATTCACCTGCATGTTCAAGGGTAAACTTTATGCATTATTTTAAACACACCACATTATTCACTTATTAAATAATTATTTGCACATATTTAGTGGCGAGTAATTTTCTCTGCTTTTGGCAACCATTCAAAAGGAATTCAAAAATTTTATCATGACAAACATTGTATACTTTCTTCAGAGCTTAAAAATCTTTATGTTGCAGTGACAAGAGCACGTCAGAAAATTTGGATATATGATGAAAACACTGTATCAAGGGAACCAATTTGCAAGTATTGGGAGCACCATGGATTGATCAATATAATTAAGAATGTATATGGAAATGAAAACTATACTTTATCTACTTTGGAGAAGGAAGAGAAAAACAGTACATATCAAAAGCAATCTAATCTGGTAAAAAATTTTCTGTCTACTTTGGCTGAGAAAAAGAAAAGCAGTCCAGATGAATGGGATAAACAAGGAGAGATTTTTTTTGAAAGACAGCAATATGACCAGGTAAAATATTGCAGTTGAAATATTCTATCATGTGATGAACTGAGTCAACTAAATGAAATTAAACCACTTTCAGGCTATTTTTTGCTTTAAGAAAAGTGGAAATAAAGAGAAACACAAGCTAGCAGAAGCATATCTTCTTCAGCAGGTTGCTAGAGATTCTATACATGATTGTGATGATGCTGCTATTGTGAACTCCAATTTCATTCGTGCTGCTGTGGCCTTCATAAAATGTTCACTACCAATTGAAGCAGCTTCATGCTATCAGGTAAAATCTTTATTTTTCTTAAGAAATGGGTGGCACTAATAGTAACTTTAAAAAATTGGTTACATCTATCTGAACACTAAATTATAATTTGATACATAAAACTCTACAAAATATCTAGGAGATTGGTATGCATGAAAAAGCTGGTGATATTTGTGTAGAGTGGAATAAGTTTGAGCATGCTGCTAATTGTTATTCTAAAGCTGAAAAATGGGATAAAGCTGGTAATAATTTTCAAAAGGTGGGGATGTATAATAAAGCTTTTGTTGCCTACAAAAATGGTGAATTTTTTGAAAAAGTAGAAGATTTAATTCATAGGTAAGCTCATTTCCATGTATCTTAAATAATTTGATGCAATTAATGCTGCATATGTATATTATTGCTATTACAAAAGCATAGTTTATTGAAAAAATAAGCATAACACAATATCTGATGATAATCTGATACCTGTTTAATTATTTTAACAAGATACAGACAAGAGATTGATGAAAATCTTATCAATGATCATTATCGCTCTATTGCCAAAGAACTATGCTCATGTGGTAAGTTTGAAGAGGCCACCAATATTATTATCAAGAATTTGAAAGAGATCAACTCAGAAGACATCAATGTGTTAAAGTGCTTCGTACACCTATGCAGAGTCAATGTGATAACAAATATAATGACAGATTTAAATGTCAAACAGGAAGTGGGTAAACTTCTTTCCAAGGCAAATGATTTTATAAAGAAATTCAAATCAGAATCTGAGCAATGGAAGAGCTTGGCAAAGGAGATTCAATTATATGTAGCTTATTTAAATCAAGACCTCAATAATGTTTATGAGTGTATGCAATTCTTTAAAGGTCGCAAAGAACTTGTTGCTGAATTTTGTGCAGTAAACATATATCTGCAAATCATTCCTCAATCAGCAGAATACTGGCATGAACGATTGCAACGTCTGTTAAGGTTATGTGAATTAACTTTTGATTTTATAGCATCAGATCAAAACACCAACAATATTGAGAAAATTTTTTTTGTAAATAAAGTTGAAAATTATCCACGTAAATGGAATATATTTTTAGGTAATCCACTTCTTCATGTATGGGACAAAATTCAACATAAAATCATGAGCTATTGGCATGTTTATGATATGAATAGTTTGCACATGAAAATGAAACAGTTCCTTGCCTCACATATCTTTGAACTCATCTGGGATGTTGATCAGAAAAGTAGATACATTCCAGATGTAAGCTCTCATATCTGTCAATTTCTTCCACCCTGTCAAAAATCAGGTTGCAGAAATCATCATGTAATTCCAACATCATTAATTCTGCACCAACGCTTGAAGCTTGCAAGTCTTAATTATACTGTTATTAGACAGTTGAATGTAATGTACAATCAACATGGGCTTCTTAGAGAGGAGCAAAGTAAACAAGTTCCTGGAATACAATGGAGGTGGGCTGAAAATCTGGTTAAATTTCATATTCGTTATCAATCACCACAGATAAGCTGCCCAGAAATAACTCAAATGATGCTTTCAGAACTTCCTAAACACACACATTCTGGTTTTATCAGTTATATTCAAAATATAACTAAAGAGCTCAAGGTTGACAACTTTGCAGTCATGCTAAAATGCATATTCATTTTGCAACAGTTGAAATACAAACAGGGCATTGATATGTTTGATTTGGAAATGTCAAAAACAAAAAAGCTTTCATACCATGAAGATTTACCCATTGGTTTTGAAGGGTACCATGGGTACATATATTATGAAGTAATTCCAGTTGGAAAGCGACTTTCATTATTCTTTGAGCATCTCTATAAAAACTATGTTATTGATGCAATCTTACATGCAAGTGTGTTTATTCAATATGCTTTAGACAATGTCAAATCTGTCCAATTGGATAACCCTGATGCTTTAGGTGATCTTGTATCTCTTATGGAATTTAAAGTGTCTTTGATTTTCATGGCTGGTCCTGAACATTATGATTTTTGCCTTCCTCGAGCATACCTTGTTAATTATTTTAAAGCATTCACCATGAAACCACTTTTCTTTAAATTTAATCAACAAAATACTTATTATAAAGAGGACTATCTAGCTGCAATTGATCATTCTTTTAAACAAATTAAACAGCTTCTGAAACAAGGGGGTGATTTGAGTATTACCCTTCGACTTATAAGGCTCTTGGTTATCATCAGCTTGAATGTATCCATTTTTGCACAAGAGATCTTTGATTTTTTCAACCACTTAAATAATAAAATCTCTTCTCCTAGGGCCAGAAAATATCTCACTGAAGGTTATATGAAAAGTTTAATATTTAAATAATTTTTTAAAATTATATGTATATGGCTATATATAACTTTTTTTCTTAATATTTAGACAGCTCACCTTTTCAACTTATGAATGTTTTGAGTAAAGACTTAAATGAGAATGACCTTGACTCTCTGGTCATTGTCCATTATGATTGTGGAGGCACCTCCAAATTTTTCAACTATGAGAGCCAAGGTATTATAAAGCTTTCACACTCTTCTTCTATTAAGGAATTTCACTTTGCTCTTCAGCAAATCATATCATCAGTAGCTACCAGCTCCATGTCTGTCACTATTTTTAATGAAGATGAGGATAATGAAATCAAATCATGGTTTCAACATTCCAATGAATCTGCCACAAAAATCCAAACTTGGATTCGTCATGCTCTTGATCAAAAGAAGCTTCAAAAGAAGCTTCAAGAGATTTACAATGAAATAATAACTTTTTGTCAGGGTGCCCTGATAAAGAAAAAAGAAAAGGCATTACACAAATATATCATTCTCTTGATAGATCCAATGGTGGATGTGACTGCAAAGTTAAATAAAATGCAAAGTAAAATGGATGCAACCAAAGACAAATTGAATATAACCAAAGATAAATTGAATAACAATAAAGATATGGACAAAGTTGAAGAATGTCTTAACCTGCTGGAAAAATTCAAGTTTGTAGACATTGTTTTGGCACTTTGTGGTTTCTTTTATCATTCAAACTCATTAAAATTTGTATTTTTAGTTACACCCATTATGAGAATGTTAAGAAAGCATTAGATTCACTGTCAACAACAACTGAGAATACAAAAGAACTTGAAAAAGAAAATGTTGAATGGCTAGAAAATAAATTACAAGAGGCACATGACTTAATTAATCAGGTTTATGAATGGCTTGATGCAAAGATGATGTAATGAAATCTGGACAATTATAAGTTTCCAATTTTCTTTCAACTGTTTATTTTGATTTCATTTTTTTTAAATAAATAAAACCAAGAATTGTCTATATGGAGAGTCCTCCAGCATGGTGGACATTCATTTGTTGCACAAAATCATAAAATGGTACACATAATAATATTTAATTTTTGTTGAAATGCATACAATGCATTTTTTAATGATCAATCAAGATTTAACCCAAGTTTGCTAAAGTATTGATTCCCGGTGTAGATGTAACAGTATTTAACATATATAGAGCTATTTGATTTTTGACTGAACCAGCATACTTGTTTAAGGCCAGCCATTTGTTAACAGAGAAATCATTAGATTTATTTCTATAGAGGAATTTTTTGAAGGGTTCATACTCTGATATAGCATATCAAAAAGGCCAACAAAGGATTTTTTCAATCATTTTACAAACTCATTAGGATTATTAATAATTCCATTTATTTGATCATTAAAAAAATCAGAAAATTGTATATCATCTAAAAAAAAATTAATTGATGATCCGTGAATAAATGAGAGAGTTGTCGATCAATTTGCTATCAAAATGCGGAGGAAATTTAATATAG